TGTGTGTGTATGTGTGTGTGTGTGTGTATGTGTGTGTACATATATATGAAGGACAATGTGAACCGGTTCTTGAATAACATTTTGATTCTTTAGCGATTTTTAGACAGTTTTCCTACGGAGAAGGACAAATGGATGACATCGAAATGAGCAAACTTCAATGATTTTAATTTTTACAGTTTTTTTTTTTTTCGCATAAAAAAATGCTAAAAGTAATGTTATCATATTGCTATTATAAATTGTAATCGTTGTTAGATGTTAAAGCATAAAAGCATAGAAGATGCAATCCAAAAATTAATTATTAATTTATGCTTGCGCACAAACTTCTTAACTATTAATTTAAGAAGAGTATAATGTTTCGGTTTTTTTTCCTCTTTATATTAAATCTATTCATTAAATTTCCATAATTCATCTTTTTTTTTTCTGTAAAATCAAAAGTTTATTTCTTCTTACCTTGTCTCACATTATTATCGTTATCTATTTTAATATTCTTTCTTAATATTTTAATTTAGATACGAACCAAAAAAAAAAACGATGATAGAAAGAAGCACATAAAATTTGGGGGAAAAAAAAAAACTTAAACTAATAAAATAATTTTAATTACGATAATATGATATTCTAATCAAAAAATTGATCCCTTTTTTTTTTGTTGCTTAAAAATTTGAGACACTGATGAAAATTTGCAGTGAATAAAGATGGGAAGTACAGCGGTACAAAAAGGATTATTAGCAATAAGCATTGTGTTAATTGTTATCGGTCTTGGATTTACCTTTGCGGGAGTATTTTCACCAGCCTGGCAAGTTGTCGACATTCGTGAATTTCGTGCTGAACATCAAGTAAACTTTTTCTTTTTTATTGTTATTTAGTAATTTTTTTTGTGATTTTTTTTTTTAAAAAAGTGGAAAAAAAAAATTTGGTGCAAAAACACTTATCGATCAGTTTCAGTGCTAATATTTCATAAAATTTCTTAATTTTCTTCTCTCTTCAATGCTTCAATCATACAAATTAACTTACTGTATGCTTAAATTAAATAATTTCTAAATAGCTAAATATATGTACGCGTAGTTTGTTCCTGTTGAAAAAACTTGATTTTCAAATATTTGACAATGAAAATTAACTAAATATTATATTGGAATGAATATTTCCCCTTGGCCTAAATTTTATTCAAAAATTTAAAAAGAATTCCATCATATAATATATGACATTTTTTTGTTTGCTAAATACATAGGCATAGTTTGACTCTATTTCTTGTTGATTTCTAATTGAATAAAAAAAAAAAAAGCTAATTTTTAAATATTTCGAAAGTGGAAATTAGCTAAATATCATTTCTCCTTATCTTATTCAAAATTTTTGAAAAGAAATCGCACATATGTATATAATTTTTGTTTGTTTTCCCTTTCTTTTTTTTTTTTTTCGTTTCATTCCATTACATTGAAAAATGTTAACAATTCCCATTTAGTACTATCATTAAATTTTAATGAATGCATATATTTATTTTATTTGATCAATTTCATGTCATTCTTTCTGAGCAATTGATTGAAATTCATTCCAGCATCTGCTACTATGAAAAATTGTGCGGAAAAAATTTCCAGTTGCTCTAAATAAAATATGATTAAAAAAAAAAAAAAATTCAATATTAAACTTTCTTTTGGAAATGATAGGAATGATAATAGTGGAAATTCATAAAATAAAGAAATTTAAATTATATTTAGAAGTAAACAATAATTAATGATAGATTATTGATTAATATTTTGATTCAGACTACTGTTAAATATCGTGGATATTATAAGAGTTCAG